GATTCGGGTACCCATTCGGGTATTTAACTTATGAAGAACCGCTCGATTCGGTTCTGGTCCGGTTCGATTTGGGGCTTTTGGACACCCTTAATTTTTATCAACTTTTCAATCATATATTTTCATCAAGTTTTGTTAAAATCCATAAAAATATGATATTTAGCTAAATCAGGATTAAAGATGTGATTGCATAGTTGATTCAGACAATTTTGAACCGATGTATACAAGGTTACAAAGCCTTGTTTGACTTCTTGTTCTATCAAGATTGTTTGGTAAGGATCACTTTCTTCCACTGGGGTAGACTTGTAAATTTACGCACATGGCACGAAACACGTAATAATGGAGATTTGAATAAGCCCATCACATTATTCACCTGCGAATTATGGAGATTTGAATAAGCCCATCACATCTCATCAAATTTGAATAATCCAAATCAACAGTATAGACATTTCTTTTCATATTCTTTTCATATTCTTTTCATCAAATTTTGTTAAAATATATTAAAAACTTGATATTTAACTAAATCAAGCAGGATTAAGATGTGAGTGCATACTTGTATTGGTCAATTTCAAACCAATGTGTACAAGGATACAAAGCCTCGTTTGACTTCTTGATCTGTTTGTAGCCGAGTAATACTATTCATTTAACCTATCATTTAAAGTCACCTAAATTGTATTTTTATTTCCACTGGGGATGAATAACATTACTCGTTTGTAGCCCATTTTCTGTCTGATAAAAGTCAAAAAATGCAGCTGAAATGGGAACGTGCAAAAATTCATTTTTTTTCTCACGACATGGGCTCCAAACAGGGGCTTAAAATTGCTTCCAACTCCTTTTGAGATTTTTGTTAAATAAGGCAAGAATGGATAAAAGTTTAAATTGCTAGTTTTTATTTGGAACATCCAGAAGTGGTCCAACTGATCTTAGGCTCAGAAAAATTTATCTGCAACCTATGGACAGAAGGCTAATTGAGGCTGCTCACAAGGGAGATGTTCATCAGCTGCAAAATCTGATCAAAGACGATCCTTTCCTGATGAAGGCTGTAGCATTATTAGGTGGAGAAACTCCGTTACATATTGCTTGTATGGGGGGAAACCTGAGTTTTGCGAAAGAGGTTCTAAATCTGAGTCCAGAATTCGCAAAAGATTTGAGCCGTGATGGCTTCAGTCCCCTGCATATTGCTGCAGCTAATGGGGATTTAGAGATCGTGAAAGAGCTCCTGAAAATAGGTGATATTTTGTGTCTGGTTAAGGGAAAGGAAGGAAGAATTCCCCTACACTATGCAGTTATCAAAGGCAGAATACGAGTCATTGAAGAACTGATTTCAGCCAGTGAAGATAGNGAGGATATATTGAATGAGAAGGATGCACAAGGGAACTCCATCTTGCATCTTGCAGTCTCCATAAAGCAATACGAGGCAAGTATTTTACCATTTGATACGTGTCTTCACAGTACAAGTGTACAACAAACAAAAGTTTTAATTTACTTTCTTCTTTAATCCTATTTATTATATGGAATTTACCTCCAAAAATAATGACAAAAGGTTGGTTTGTTTATCCACGGTGGGATAAATATAGATTTGATCCCTTTTGCTTTCAGTTTTCTATGCTGCTTTAAGCGATTTCCGCGAGTGAGTTAATAGGAATAATTTGGAATTTGATGAACCA